AATGCACATTTTGGCTCTACGAATATTTTAGCACTTAAAAATATGGCTGTTTAAAACTCTTTACTAGAAAGAAAATGGAACATGTATTTTACACATAATTAATATATGTTGAAGCCGAAGATTAAACATGAATTATCTGCTTTTCAAAATAATGTCATTTTCAGTCAGAACCATCTTCGTTAATATTCACGTAGTTCTCTATTAACAGCGGTATCCTAATAAACTTATTAGTTATCCTAATAAACTTCAGATTACTGTATTTTATATCCCTGCATTCTGAGCACAGGTAAGAATTGATTGGTTCCACATAATATTAAACTCTTCATAAAGATTTTGCTTAAGGTAATTTTGCAAGTAGTTTTACTTTTATCTAATTTGATAACCTAGTACATTTTGAAAGCTGAGGAAAGAGACCTAAATATCTTGGAAAGTATATTTTAATGTCTAAAATATAAGCTATTCCATTTCCAAGCAAATCTGGCAGAGCACATGTGATTTAAATCATTCTTAGTAGAAAATCCAATTAACTTATAATAATTCCACCCCCTCCTTCAGTTTGTCTGTAAAACAAAAAATAGTTTTGTTTTCAGGATGTAAGGGTGTGTTTTTCTATTTACTCCAAATACTACTATATTTTTCTATGCTTGAATATTTTTATAAATTCAGACTTACTACTTTGGCTTATAAATTATTTTATACTATTCTAATGATAGTAATAATTGCTTTGTTACCATTTAATTGAGCACTTATCTTGGATCAGACATTGTACTAGGCACTTAAACTTAGTACAAGGTAAATCATTTAAGGAATTTTAATAATTTAGAACAAGTCTAATTCCCTCAAAACTTCCCTAAATAAGCTGGTTTTCTTGTGGAATAACAGTATGGTTTGAGGTCTGACATAAATAAAGCAAAAGGCCTTAATTTAGGCTGACAGGAACTCTTAAAGGAATTCCCTTTAAGAGCCTATCCTAACAAAAATAGGCTTCCTTTCCTTGGCTGCTCTAATATGGTGTGCTCGTGACTCATAATGTCAAGTGATTTAGTACATTTCAATTGATAACTTTGGGAGAATAAACCTTTCATTTCATCATTTATTAAACTAATTAGCTTCACAAATGGGGGGGGTTCTTCCTGATACATGTTTTAGTCACTAGAAATATATATAACTGACAAAGCTTGTTCATGTGTCTTGTGGTAAAAATATAACATTTATTAAGAATCATATTTTATCTTTTTATTGAATTAAAACTTTCTCTTCTGTTTTTCCTCTCATAGATGTTACCAGACCTAAAAGCAGACAACCAGAGGCTAAAGGATGAAAATGGGGCCTTGATCAGAGTTATAAGCAAACTTTCCAAATAAAAAAAGAAAAAGCAGCAAGTAATTGGAATTGCACATATTAGTAACCCAGTGGACCATAATTGACAGTCACTGGAAGCCTGGGAAGAATCCTTGGAGACTGTCATTTTTGGATATCCTGCCAAATGCCCTCTTATCTAGGAGTTTTGTTTTGTTTAATTTTCTGGTGTTTTTCTTTTTTTTTTTTCCTTGTATCAAGACCATTGTTTCATGTTAATGCAGCTGCTGAGAAGATTTTTTTTTATGACTGAGAAAACTTGTTTACAGCTCCAGCATATAAGGAAAGTGTTCAAGGCCAGATATGCCTCAGATATTTAACCAGTAAGCCTTAGTTGTACATAAATACTTTTGTGTCAACAAAAACTCAGCTCTCACAGAAGACAGTTATTCAGCATTTTTTGATGTGCCACAGTTTCCAGTTTTTCGATATTTAATTTTTTTTTTTTTTTTTTTGCTTTTCATCTGAGTTTGGGTTTGTATTTTTTCCTTCTAACTCTTCATGTGGCAGACTCTTCTCCTGTCTCACAGCTTTCTCATTTACAGAAAAGAACACTTGCTCTTCTGAGATCATTGTCATATATTAGGCTAATGCTGTGTTGTCCCCCACCTGGAACTGAATTGCTTGGTGGAACATTTGCTTTCACTGTTTGTGCAATATGCATTTATTCCTTATATGAATGCTTTAAAGTCAGTTGAGATTAGATTCTTTTAAGTCCTGTTTTCTGCCTTCATTGGTCACTTTTGTTTTGTTTGTTTTTTATTATTGTAGTATAAGATGTTAGATTCTTTAATCTTCACATTCATTTTAGCAGGTACTGAGTGATGCTGTATATATAAATAGGTGTATTGTTTTGATTTTTAGACCACCACATGGCATGCTTGACTGTTTTCTTATTTCAAATGTCTGTTAATGCAAAGTAGGCTACTCCATAATAGTGTTAAAAACAAAATTTGCTAACAATGTGATATAAAGACTTTTAAAATAACACGTTTATGTGGAGCCCTATCTTTACAAAAGTTTTCTACTGTAAAATGCTTTTACTTTTATTTGCAGTTTTCATTTGATAGTATTCAACCATAATTAAAGTTCCATAAGGTAATTACTTCACATTTCACATACCTGTATTTATCTGAGTGCTGTCTATAACTGTTGTGCTAGCCAAAGTAATGCTATGAAATCATTTGCAGACTTAACGTGAGTTCGTGTTAAATGCACTGTTATTGCCATGTGAAGAGGCATTGACTTTGATACCACCATCATGTTCAGACCATTTTATACATTTCAGTGGCCTTTTTTTAAAAAAAAGCAAAACCAAGTACATATGAAGATGGCTTTTATTTGGACAAATAGCTTTTATATTTTCATTAAACCATGCAAAAAATACTCTATCTTTCTGGCACATAACTGTCTCCTTAACCACTGAACAGTTCAGCCATTTGAATAAATTGTACATTGTAAAGCTTATAGTAGCTAATTGTATTATTGATTGTATTGTATACTATATTAAATGTGAATTTGTACCCCCTTCATTTTAAAAGGTCATTGTGTTCTACTGCCTATTTTAGATTACTTTGGGGTTGGGAAAAGGTGTTTTGGTAAGCAGGATTTTAAGTCCTCTCTTTCTTGATTGGTTTTATGAAGATATAAGGTTATGCTCTTACTACCAAGCTCAGGATTCTTGATTTTTAAAGGTACAAGGATAGTTGTGGGAATTTTATTTTTGGTTATATTTGAACTGTATGAATGGTTGGTCTGAATATAAAGAATTTCCATGGTCTTATGTGGACGTAAAATATACAGATAATTGGTCAGTTTGAGTGACTGCAACATGTTCTGGTTGCACAACAGTTAGGCATGCTAAGGATTATATTTGTGAAGTTTGGATGCCTGTGAAGAATGATTAAATACATGTTTCTAATATTTTAGTGTTTTGTATTTAGGTTATTTATTCTTTGTATCTAAAACTGAACAGCTACTGTGCTATATTGATTTTATTGGTAGTATTGAGCAGACCTTGTTTCTGCATGAAACTAGTTGCAAAACCCACTATTTTGGAAATAAAAATGTATTTTGACATATACAAATAAAATGAATAAAACTATTTTAAATGTGTGAACTTTTACTGAAGACGTTTAAAACTTTGTTCTGAGATATTTAAATTCTGCATGGGTATTTTTTCACTAATTGCTTTACTTGGATTCCAATTGGAATAATTTTTGAAATTGTAATATTGTGATAATTTGCACAACATTGTACATGCACATCTGTAAATGCAATCTTAATTGCCATATTTATGCAATCTGTGTATCAATTTGGACAAATGTTTATATATTTTACATAAAGCTGTCTGTGTGCAGAATCTGAGAACTAGTTTTTTTATGATAATAAGTGGGTAAAAAATAATGATAAAAGTGAGTTTCAAGATAGTAGCTTTGTAGCAAAAGATTTCATTTACCTAAGTATTTTGTGGCTTCCAAATTAAACCTATGCTTTTTTGTAGTTGCAAACATAGGCTTGGGAATACGTATACGGATAATATTCCATTGAATAGTAAAATAGTAAAATAGTAGATCATTCTCCAACCTAGATTTGTCCAAGTTTCAACCCCCATCTACTACACATCTGTAAGTAGATAAGAGGCATTTCTGATTTGGGAACTTCGGTAAAAGACTTGTAGTAAGCCTGTGTCTCTTGTTTCTACTTCCAGTACTTTCCCTGTGCATGCTCACAGAATGATAGATATTACTGTTCTTTGTCCTCCATACAGAAAATTTCACATGCAAATACTTCAAACGAAATGCAAAGATAGAATTATCTAGGAGAGTATTCATACGGATTATGAATTATAATCCATAATGGATTAGTAGATATTCACTAATCCATTAGGCTATTTTATTCTTTTGCTTAAAGGTTTATTACCACTTAGTCTTTCCTGGCTAATCTGAAACAGTCATGACTCCCAGTGTCAGCACTCACTGAGTGTTGTTGTAAGAAGAAAATATCCAGAGGTCAAATTGTCTCCAAACTAAGGCAATGTATTTCCCGTAGGAAATAACAGCCTTGTAGGTTGTCCTTCACTTTGTCATTATAAGCAGAAAACAGAGCAAACTCTGTTAACAGTTATTAACAATCCATTAGCCATATCTTGATAGAGAAAACCTTTGGTTGAAAAGATGAAAGCTGACTGATAAGCAGTCTCTTCTGTGATGTTCCATGTTTTACGCTGTGTGTGGTCTCTGTGTGTCTGAATTTGCATGTTCCACAGGGGTAATGTACATATGAGAGCCATTGTCCAAAAAGGACTGGGTGTAGAATGAAGTATTTATTTTCCTATTATATATCTCTAAATAGCTAAATACATTTTTTTCTTTCTTTCTTTCTTTCTTTTTTTTTTTTTTTTGGCTACATCAGGTCTTAGTTGTAGCACGTGGGGTCTTCGTTGAGGCATGCGAGATCTTTTTGTTGTGGCTTGGGCTCTTCGTTGTGGTGCGTAGGTTTCTTTCTAGTTGTGGTGTGTGAGTTTTCTCTCTCTAGTTGTGGGGCACAGGCTCCAGGGCATGTGGGCTCTGTAGTTTGCAGCATGCAGGCTCAATAGTTGTGGTACACGGGCTTAGTTGCCCTGCAGCATGTGGGATCTAAGTTCCCCGACCAGGGATCCAACCCACGTCCCCTGCATTGGAAGGTGGATTCTTTACCACTGGACCACTAGGGAAGTCCCTAAATACATTTCTTGGCTTTCCTTTTAGAAAGGTTCTCTGGGGCTATGTGCTATGAAACAACAGAGTGCTTTCTTAGGTAAGTGACATAGTGTCATATTGCTGTTCCAAACCCCCAAAATGAGCAGATTACAACGTAATAAATTTAAAAACACAGGAGTCAGAAATTTTAAATTCTATAATGTGACATAAATAATTCTATCTTATTACTATAATTTGAAATTTTACTACAAGTTTTCTAAAGTGTATTAGAAGTAAGCATTTTTGAGCCCGGCTGTCACAGCTTGTCACTGCTTAAATTCCAATAAACAGGTCACAAAAATTAACTAAATTTTAAAAGGCTGAAGGGAAAAAACGGAGGAAATGTGTAAAGAAATGAGCAATATTAGTAGATTTTGTCCTGAATAATATTCAGCTTGTAGGGCCTGTACTTTGTCTTACAGGTCTGTGACAATGAGAGTGGGAAAGAGAAGGATTTACCTTCTCTCCCCTTCCCCACGCTCAATTATTCTTACAGGTTTGTTCTGATACAAGTCTTTTTCAATAGGATACCTCATTTGATTCTTACAACAGGCTGGGTGAATAAAGGTGAGAAATTTCAGGTGAGAAAGCTGAGATGTACATATTATTAACTGGGTCAACATCCCAAGCCTAGTACAAAGCAGAGCTCTTACTCAAACTTAGTGGTGGTTGCCATTGTTTTTTCCCCAGATCCTAATCTAGGACTTTTCCCCCTGTGTCACTTAGTTTGATCGTTTTACACTTTGAGGATGGCGTTTCTTGGTTTTTTTTCTTCCACATTCTTTCTCTAATCCCACATCCCTGCCCCCACACCCACTAATTTTTTCTCTATTTAGGACTTATTATTAACTAAACCCTTTGCCCTGTAATGGGATTTTTTAAAAGATTAATGCTTTTAATGCTCAAGCGTCTAGTTGATTTCCTGGCGCAAATTCTAACTATGCCCAGTAGACCATAAATTTGTAAAAGATTTTCATATACCTACATGCAAAAGAAACTTTGCATCCTTCAAAAATAGATTTTTTTAATTGGTGATGGGAGCTTAATTCCCAAGAATCTTTCTTATTCCCAAGTAAGATAGGCAACATTGATAGTGCTGTGGTTTTAGCAGCAAATTTTTCTCCCCCACTGAAAATGTGTGGAATACCAATATATAAAACAGATAAAATTTGTATTCATATTAACTCACAGATATGACCCCAACCCAAAAGAAAGTGCAGTTGGCCCTCTGCATCCACAGATACAGAGGGCCAACGGTACTATGCCAGTTTGTTTAAGGGACTTGAGTAGCCACAGATTTTGGTATCCATGGCAGTCCTGGAATCAATCCCCCACAGATACTGAAGGATGCCTGTACTCAAAACATAAAATAGGTCTGTATAAGATATGTGTGACAACAGCATGACTCTCACTTGTTACTATATAATTCTTAGGATCAGAGCATTACTGAGCAGATGCATCTTAACTTCAGTTGCTTTCACAATAACCATGCTAAACATGTGCTCTAGCAGTATACTCTAGTGTGAGTATGTTCTGACCTAAAGAAAATCAAGACCAAGTACAGGACATAAGAAGCTCCACACAAAAATGAGATAACTTGACAATATAACTTAGTGTGTATGTGCTCTCCAGTGTTTTACAATTTGACATGTATGTGAGTGTATTTATAAATTGGAGGAAAGCATTTTAGCAAACAATTTGAATCAAAATTTTGTGGGATCCATAGTATATCTTTTCAAAACCTATGGGGTACTGATTTTTTAAACACTTGACAGGGTGGAAGGAGCTTTGGATTCAGTCAGATGTAGATGTAAATCTCACCTACACTACTTTATAACTGTGTGATGCTGGTCAAATCATTTATCCGTTCAGACTCAGTTTTTTCAAGTAAATGACATGTCTATGTAAAGTGCCTTGAACAGTTCTTGAGCTTAGTGGATTGATGCCCAACAAATGTAATTATTATATTATTACTTTGAAGAAATTACATTAATAATTTGTGACTTTTAAAAGTACTAATTTACTTTAGAATGTAATTTACTTTTTCTGGGATCATTTGATAAATGTTTATAACGTATTTCCAAAGAATCTTTTAATGTGTAAAAATTTTTAATAGGATTGTTTCTTCTTAGAATATATTAAAGCAAAATTTTAGAATAATGTACCCAATTAACCATAAACACCTATTTTTTTTACTCTGGGGTCAGTAAGGGAGAAAGAAATGAGGTGGATTTCAGAGGACCTCCTTCAACCATTGGAAAGAAGGAAAAAGTACACCTCTGTAACCATGCCACATCTATCCTAACAGATTCCAGGAACACTGACTCTCTACTCGTGTGCATCTAATCCATCTGTGGACCCCAGTTCCTGTTACCAAAAGTGGGGGGATGTGTCAAGAAGTGTATAGGTGTGCCATACAAAATGCAATTGCCACAGAAGAGGCAGCTGGTAAGTATGGGCTAGTAAGTGTTTTAGTAAATACTTAATGATAGTCGCTACCCCATATTTCTTGTTTTCATTAAAATTCATAGTTGTTGGAATGTCAGGATTATCCCTAATTTTGGATGTTTTTAGAGTTTACATAATGCTTCCCAGAAAATATCCTGAGGTCATCCGGGCCATTTATCAGCCTACAGATCAAGGTTATGCAGCTAACCTTGTTGCATAATGATCTTCTGCATAAGAGTTGTATAATCTCATCTACTCTTTTGGTCTGAAATTTAGAGTCCTGCCCATCTCATTCTTACTCCATGCTAGCCTGCACCTCTGATGTCCACTACTTCCTTTACTGTGACCAGTAGTAGAAAAACCAGAGAGGAGGGGAGCTAAATTTTAGTATTTTCTATGTTCCAGACACCCTATACATACCTTGGTTTTCTGGTTTTAAATTCTCTTTAATCTGTTTCTTCTATTTTACTGTACTATGAGCTCCATAAAAGGACAAAGTCTTTTTCATCCTTGTTCTCAGCAGTTAGTATAGTGCCTGGCACATAGTAGATGTTTACTTGATGTTTTTCAAAGGGAAGAGTGAATCAATAATTGTGATACATTTTGTGGAGGAAAAAGTCTTGACAGGTTTTTAAGAAAGCTTTGTAACGTGTTAAATATAAGCATTCTGATTCCTGCAGACTTTGTCTCAGTCATTCAAGTTCTTGTTAGCGCTTCCAAGCCAGACTGCCCTATGGGGTAGGAATACACCCGGAGGCAAACAGGTAAAAATAAATCCCTGCCTTGTGGAGGTTACATTCAAGGAATGGGAAGATTGAAAATAAGCAGCTACACAATATTAGAAGACAACAGATACTATGGAAAAAATAGAGCAAGATAAGAGATTTCAGGAATGAGGGAGAGCTTGTCAGAGAAGGCCTCACTGAGAAGGAAACATTTGAGCCAAAACTGGAAGGAGGGGAGGGCAAAAACTGTGCAGGTGTTTGGGAGAAGAGCATGTCCAGGCAGAGGGAGCCGCGTAAACACAGGCCTTGAGGTGCAGATGTTCTTGAGTGTTTTGACAAACGGTAAGGCTATTGTAGTTATATAGCTAAGTGAGCAAGAAGTAGAATAGTAGGAGGGAACGTCGGAGAGTCGGAGAGGCAGCGGGAGCTGGATGAGGGACTTGTTTAGACATGTATTGACCACATGCTGTGCACTAGACTTGCTCCTTGAAGAGCTTTACTATCTTTGTCCATACCCTCTTCTCAAGAATATTTTGTAGCTCTTTATAATAAAGCCACATACTGTATAGCTGTAAAATTATTTTTTACAAGAGATAAGAATTGGGGAGGATAATTATATTAGAAAATCTAGGCTCAGTTTCCTAAGGGGAAACTTACTCAATTAAATGTAAAACATTTGCTAAAACTCTTTGACAACCAAGTTAGAAATGGACAAATGGATTATTACAAACATCATTACTATGTAAAAGAAGCCCATCAGTTCATTGGGCAAAATAAACATTTTGGAGCACTTCTCAGGAAGGAATTTTCTCATGGGTTTTACAGTTGGTCTATATACCTAATGTACATTGTCCTCATTTGTTTCTACTTTGTGGGGTAGTATTTCTCTTCAGATGGTCGTTTCTTATTTCTGCTTTCAAAAGAAAAATCTAGAATATAAGATATGCTTCCACAAATGTTATGACATAGTTGCAAGAGAGATCAAAGTACTATATAATCCAAGTGTGTAGTGTTCACTATCTTTCTTGTCCCAGGAGTGGTTAGCTTAATCATTCCCCTACAGCAGTGTTTCTCAAGCTTGAATCACCTGGAGAGCTTGTTCGAATATAGTTTAAGCCCCACTTTTATTTCCTTTTTTTTTCTTTCTTTTTTTTTTTTTTTTTGCGGTACGTGAGCCTCTCACTGTTGTGGCCTCTCCCATTGCGGAGCCCAGGCTCCGGACGCACAGGCTCAGCAGCCATGGCTCATGGGCCCAGCCGCTCCGTGGTATGTGGGATCTTCCCAGACTAGGGCACGAACCCGTGTCCCCTGCATCGGCAGGCGGACTCTCAACCACTGCGCCACTAGGGAAGACCCCCACTTTTATTTTCTAATTCAGTATTTAGGGTCTGGGATGGGGCAAGTGAATTAGTATTTCTGTCAAGTTCGCAGATGGTGCTGATACTGCTAGTCCAGGGACCATATTTTGAGACCTACTGCATTGCAATATCACGTGTTCATATTCTAAATGGAAATGGAGAATTCAAAAGTAAAATGCCTTGTGAGAACCTAAAATGTAGATATCCTATGTTAATAGTTAAAAGGAGATCATATAGCCCAAACCTTGAGTAACACCAGTGATAGTCTAAAAATAGAAGACCATGTGTCCAATCATACCACATATACCTGGCTGGGAAAAAGGACACATGCAGACCAATCGAATCCAGTTTACCAGGAAGTCAAATAGAAATGGAAAAGGATTTTTTTTTCATATGAAACAAGCACCTTGATGACAGGCGCATACATTTGATCAGAAAAGGGGTAGCCAATCCCCTTACTTTGCCTTTTCTCTTCTTGCTAGAGAGAGAAAAAGCCTAAAACTCCATAGGGCGTATAGGGCGGCAAATGTCCTAAAATATAAGTTTAAGTTAGGAAAGGCAACACAACTGCCTTCTTACATTTCAGGCCCAAGCTGCCTGCATTCCCTACAATGCATCATAAACACTGCACAGCATGCTGAAGGGACTCAGCTATATCTAAAAATATGCATCCATTTTTGCTGCATATCTTAAGTGACTAGATATACCAGGGTCACTACTTACTATAGCTAAACTCCTTTAAGGAAAATGGACTTAACCAGTTCATATATATATATATATATATATATTTATATATTTATTTATTTATTTAATCTATATCAGTAGATCATCATGAGAACATCACAAGACCAATAGTGTCAGCATCACCTGGGAATTTGTTAGAAATGCAAATTTTGGGGCTCCATTCCAGACTTGCTGAATCAGAAACTGAAGATAGGGCCCAGCAGTCTTTTTCAACAAGCCCTCAAGGGATTATGATGCAAGATAAAATTTGAGAACTACTAGCCTATAGGCCTATAGGTTTCAAATCTAGATCACCTGGGCTGAAATGGAACTAAATGTTAAAAAAAAAAAATTCTCAAAGACTGTACTAGTAGAGAATGAAAAGGATTATCAGTGGGGAGTGAGAAGTCTCTAGCTATGTTGGGAGCATATTACTGGTTCCACTCAATCTTAAAAATACTAAGAAAGATTTTACTTTTACTCTTGAAACTGGAGTGGGGAGGTTCATAATCAGATAAAATTAATCTGAAGTGGAGCAGATTCACCTCAAAGAAGAAAGCATCACCTTTAATGGATCCCTACAAAAGGAATCCAACAGGAGATTTTTGTTTGAGGGAAGATAATGTTATACTATAAAATGAGTTTATTATTCAGTGCTTATCAAGTAAAAGTGAAGTTTCCGTCCATTACAGGTTCCTACCTCTGGGTGAGGTACAGGATCACTGAGAAAACTCCATTCCTGAGACCAGAGAGACAGGGTCTGGCTGAACCTGAGGCTGAAGCAGGAATACAGAAAGCTCTTCCAGCCTCTCACTGCCCTCCCCACCCCCCGGCAAGCACCAAATAACAAGTACCAGGTAACAAGCAACAGAAGTGTATGGTGGGGGGAAGGCGCAAGAGCAGGGAGAGACCACTTGTGAGGAACAAACTAATAGAGAAGACTTAAGGTAGAAGCAGAACATTGAGAAAAAGTCTCTAGTAAACCAATTCTCACCCTAACCACAAGGTAAATCCAGTGAAATTTAAAACCAGTGGTAAACGTAGCAACAACAAAAGACAAACCCACCTCAATTCCTAACTATACTGACTCAACCCTCTACAGGCCAGCAGAAGAGGTGTCATATCCAGTAATAAATACTATGTATCTCAATCTCTACTGTTCTACGCATTATGAGCAGCAAGATATCAGTAAGTACAAGATAGGAAAAAGCAAAAAAGCTCTTCCAAACCCATTGTCAAGAGACAAAGCAATCAGAACCAGATTTAGAGGTTGCATGAATATTGGAACTATCTGATAGGAAATCTAAAATCATTATGAGAAAAAATAAATAAAATCATTGTGAGTAACATGTTAACTCTCAGTGGAAAAGGTGAGGAACAGGAATGAACAGACAAGGAAATTAGAAGAGGGACTTCTCTGGCTGTCCAGTGGTTAAGACTCCACGCTTCTACTGCAGGGGGTGCACGTTCAGTCCCTGGTCAGGGAACTAAGATCCCACATACTTCGTGGCACGGCCAAAAAAAAAGGAAAAAAAGAAGCTATAAGAAAGAGTCAAATGAAATGGTAGAATAAAAAATCAGGATAACAAATTATAAGAATGTCTTCTACAGACACATTCAGATTTGACACAGCCAAGGAAAGAAAGAGTGAAGTTGTTGATAGGTAGGTAAATAGAAATTATCCAAACTCAAGCTCAAAAAAAAAAGAGCAAAAAACCCAGAAACAACACAGCACTCAAAAGATGTGGGACAAAATCATGTGGTCTAATATATGTGTAATTTGAATTCCAGAAGGAGAGAGAAAATGAGACAGAAGAAATATTTGAAGAGATAGTGGTCAAGAATTTTCTGAAAATGTTGAAATGTATCAAACCACAGTTGCACAAAGCTCAAGAGAATGCCAAGAAGGATTTAAAAAACAAACAAACAAAAACTAGACACACTATATTCAAACTGCTGAAAGGCTAAAGTTACAGAGAAAATCTTGTAGACAAAGGGGGGAAAAAGTGTTATATACAAACCTGTGCAAGCCAAACAACAGTGGAGTGATGTCTTTAAAGTGCGAGAAGAAAAAATCTGATGACTCTGAATTCTATGCCCAACAAGACTATCTTTTAAAGATGAAGGAAAACTGCTTTTTCAGCCAAAAACTGGGAAAATGCAATAGCATATCTATGCTACAGAAAAATGTTAAAGGAAGTTCTTTTTTTTTTAATAAATTTATTTATTTATTTTTGGCTGCGTTGGGTCTTCATTGCTGCACACTGGCTTTCTCTAGTTGCGGCGAGCAGGGGGCTATTCTTTGCTGCGGTATGGTGGGCTTCTCATTGCGATGGCTTCTCTTGTTGGGGAGCACAGGCGCTAGGCACGCAGGCTTCAGTAGTTGCGGCACGTGGGCTCAGTAGTTGTGGCACATGGGCTTAGTTTCTCCACAGCATGTGGGATCTTTCCAGACCAGGGATTGAATCTTTGTCCCCTGCATTGGCAGGCAGATTCTTAACCACTGTGCCACCAGGGAAGTCCTAAAGGAAGTTCTTGAGGCAGAAGTAATAGGATATCAGACAGTAATTTGGATCTCCACAAAGAAATTAAGATTTGAGAAAGTGCTTAAAATGTAGGTAAATATAAAGGACATTTTCTTTATACTTAATAGCTGTTAAAATAATTGACTATATGAAAAATAAAAACAATATATTGATGGTTTATAACATGTAAAAGTAAAATGTATGACAATAGCACAAAAGATGGAAGAGGAGAATTAAGACCATATCATTATAAGATTCTTAGACTGCATGTGTTGCTTATAATGTGCTTTAGTATGCTCTCAATTCTGGGATGAACTTAGAACAAGGACAGAGTTCATTTTCACCTGAAATAAATAAGCCTGTTCACAAATGTAAGGAGTTGAAAACTGCAGCATGATGTCCATTATTTTCCTTTGAATGAAAGGATTTTTTTTTAATAGAAATCCAGAAGTTGGCTAGGGACAGGTTAGTGAATCTCATCTTCAGTGCACAGACTGCAGCTCACAAATTCTCGAGCTGAGCAGAAGATTTAGAGAAAGGGGCCCTCCCTGAGTCACACTTGTTTTGGAAAGGAGGGAAAATACTCCTCAGTTTTGTCCTGCAATTCTTCCATGTGGTTTCAATAAAACTGGACACTTCATGATATACCTTCTCACTCTCAAGCCCAAGCAGCAGTGGAAACATTCCAGTATTTCCTTTTGCAATATGATTTTTCCAAAGATCCAATTTCCTTTAAGATCCAGAATCTTGTCACTTCAAATCAAAACCTTTTCTACAGGGTCTTAACAGAGATTTGTTCAACTAGTTCATATGATTTTAAAAATGCGTGCTGGAGCTCATGCAGTTCAATATCAAAAAAACAAACAACCCAATCCAAAAATGGGCAGAAGACCTAAATAGACATTTCTCCAAAGGAGATATACAGATGGCCAACAAACACATGAAAGGATGCTCAACATCACTGATCATTAGAGAAATGCAAATCAAAACTACAATGAGGTATCACCTCACACCAGTCAGAATGGCCATCATCAAAAAATCTACAAACAATAAATGCTGGAGAGGGTGTGGAGAAGAGGGAACCCTCTTGAACTGTTGGTGGGAATGTAAATTGATACAGCCACTATGGAGAACAGTATGGAAGTTCCTTAATAAACTAAAAATAGAACTATCATGTGACCCAGCAATCCCACTACTGGGCATATACCCTGAGAAAACCATAATTCAAAAGGAGTCATGTATCACAATGTTCATTGTAGCTCTATTTACAATAGCCAGGACATGGAAGCAACCTAAGTGTCCATCGACAGATGAATGGATAAAAAAGATGTGACACATATATACAGTGGAATATTACTCAGCCATAAAAAGAAACGAAATTGAGTTATTTGCAGTGAGGTGGATGGACCTAGAGTCTGTCATACAGAGTGAAGTAAGTCAGAAAGAAAGAGAAAAACAAATACCGTATACACATATATATGGAATCTAAGAAAAAAAAAAAAGGTTCTGAAGAACCTAGGGGCAGGACAGGAATAAAGACACAGATGTAGAGAATGGACTTGAGGATATGGGGAGGGGGAAGGGTAAGCTGGGCTGAAGTGAGAGAGTGCAATAGACATATATACACTACCAAATGTAAAATAGATAGCTAGTGGGAAGCAGCTGCATAGCACAGGGAGATCAGCTTGGTGCTTTGTGTCCACCTAGAGGGGTGGGATAGGGAGGGTGGGAGGGAGATACAAGAGGGAGGAGATATGGGGATATATGTATATGTATAGCTGATTCACTTTGTTATAAAGCAGAAACTAACACACCATTGTAATGCAATTATATTCCAATAAAGGTGTTAAAAAAAAAATGTCTGCTGGGACTCCCTGGTGGCACAGTGGATAAGGCTCTGCACTCCCAAGGCAGGGGGCCTGGGTTTGATCCCTGGTCAGGGAACTAGATCCCACATGCATGCTGCAACTAAGAGTTCACATGCCATAACTAAGGAGCTTGTGTGCCACAACTAAGGAAGCTGTGAGCCACAGCTAATGATCCCACCTACCACAACTAAGGAGCCCACATGCTGCAACTAAGGAGCCCACCTGTTGCAACCTAGACCTGGCACAACCAAATAAATATTTTTTAAAAAAATGTCTGCTAAGTAGGCCCATTTCTGCAGCTCTTCATTTCAAAGCACTGGACAAACTCTAGACATGTCATATCATGTCATTTACTTTCAACTTGAGGAACATCTTTTTTATTCCTTGCAGTGAAGGCCTGCTGGTGATAAATTCTCTCAGCTATCATTTTATTTTTTGTTTTTAATTTTTGGAGATATTTTTCTCTGGATATAGAATTCTTAGTTGACTTTTTTTTTTTCTTTCTTTCTTTCAGCTCTTTAAAGTTGTCACACAATTGTCTTCTGGCCTCCATTGTTTTTAATGAGAATATAACCATAATTTTTTTCATTTTTTCCCTGTATGTAATACATTTTTTTCCTCTGGTTGTTTTAAGACTTTTTCTTTATTTTTGGTTTTCAGAAGTTTGGTAGTGCACAAGTATGATTTTCTTTGTACTTTTGCTACAAGGAGTTTACTGAAATTTTTGGAACTGTAAGTTGATACTTTCATTAAATTTGGGAAATTGTCAGCTATTATTTTTTCAAATAATTTTTCTTTACCATTATATTATTTTTCTCTTCTCTTTTTGGATTCCAGTTGCATGCATGTTAGGTTGCTTGATGTTGTCTAACAACTTACTAAGGCTTTGTTCATTTTTCTTCATCCTTTTCCTCTTTGCTCTTCAGACTGGATATTTTTCTGTTGATCTTTCTGCCAATTCACTGACCCTTTTGCCATCTTCAATCTGGTGTCATGCCCATCCAGAGAATTCTTCATTTTAGATATTGTACTTTTCAGTTCTAGAATTTCATTTTAGTTCTTTTAAAATAGATTTTATTTTTCTCCTGAAATTCTTCTATCTCTTCACTTGCTATAACTATTTTTTCTGTTGTCTTTGAAAATATAATAACTGCTTTAAAGTCCTTGTCTGCTAATTCTAACATAGGGGTCATCCCAGGGTCTGTTTCTGTTGACTGCTTTTTCTCTTGATCTTGGGTCATGGTTTTCCTGTGTCTTTATATGTTTAATATTTTTTATTCTAGACATTGTAGATAATACATGAGTTCATCTTCCTCTGAAAAGCTCTGATTTCCATTCTAGCAAGCAGCTAAGTTACCAGCTAATGACTTTGATCTTGTATAAGTTCACTTTTTATATTTACAGGACAGACCTATTTCAATTTTACTCTTAGTCTTAGAACAAATCTTTAGTTCTAGGAAATAGTCTTTACTTCAAAGTTATGCCCTTCTTGAGTTTCGATTAAAAGCTTAAAGTGTGTACCAAGCCCCTTGGACTTGGTAGGTGCTATGGTCTGAATGTTTCTGTCCCCGTCAAATTCACACGTTGAAATCCTAATACCCAATGTTATGGTATTAGGAAGTGGGGTCTTGGAAAGGTGATTAGGTCATGAGGATAGAGCTCTCATGAATGCAATTAGTGCTTTTATAAAAGAGATCCCACAGAGCTCCCTACCCCCTTCTGCCATGTGAGGATACAGAAGAAGACTATGACCTGGAAGATAACTCTCACTCAACCATGCTGGAACGCTGATCTTGGACTGCCAGCCTCCAGAACTGTAAGAAATAAATTTCTGTTGTTTATAAGCCGCCCACCCTGTGATATTTTATTATGGTAGCCCAAGTGGACTAAGAGACTAGGATTCAAACTCCAAACTCTGTCTCTTCTATGGTGGGCAACAATTGGAATCTCTACTCGGCATTTTCTAGCTGTTTCTTTCCTAGGCTTTTTGAGACCATGTATTTGCAAATCAGAGGTCATCCAAAAATTTGAAAGAAGTTTGTGCACGTATTTTGGAACTCCCATCTCAATGGCTCTCATTTCCAAAAATCTCCCCCTGAATTTCCAACTAGTCTGGCAGCCCCAAACTGTGTCCTCTGATACCTCAAGTTGATAAGAGTGCAGCTTAGTTTCTAGTTACTCTCTACTGCACTCACTGGGGAATGCCCTCAGGGGTAAATCTGTTTAAACATGGATCTCACCAAGTGATTCCCTTTTCTCCAGGGTTAAGTCCTCTCCAGTTTGTGCCAGCTTTTGGTCACTCCAGCTATTTTATATATTTTATCCAAAGTCCATAACTGTTACCTGTAGGAAGGCTTAGTCCAGTATAAGCTACTCTGCTATTACTAGAAACAAAACTTTTGTATTACTTTTATAATTTAAAAACTAGCTTTAGGGGTTTCCCTGGTGGCGCAGTGGTTGAGAGTCCGCCTGCCGATGCAGGGGACGTCGGTTCGTGCCCCGGTCCGGGAAGATCCCACATGCCGCAGAGTGGCTGGGCCCGTGAGCCATGGCCGCTGAGCCTGCGCATCCAGAGCCTGTGCTCCGCAACGGGAGAGGCCACAGCGGTGAGAGGCCCGCGTACCGCAAAAAAAACCAAAAAAAACTAGCTTTAAAAAAGGCTTGAACAAGTAGACCAAAATATAATGTTTTGTATTAGAGAATAGCTCTATAGGTAATATTTTTCCTCTATTTTGCAAATTTTCTGTAATGTGATATTTTTTAATTAAACTTTTTAAAATAGAATTTTCATGGAGTGAGAAGCATCCCAGATAGCAGGAAGTATATAAACTAAAGTAA